AGAGTAACCCGGAACGCGCATGTCCGTATACGCGGACATAGAGATATAGAGTTAATGACATAGAGGTGTGGAGTTAACGACATAGAGGTATGGAGTTAACGACATAGAGGTATGGAGTAAACAACATAGAGGTATGTAGTTAATAACATAGAGGTATGGAGTTAACGACATAGTGGCATGGAGTTAACGACATAGAGGTATGAAGTTAACGACATAGAGGTATGGAGTTAACGACATAGAGGTATCGAGTTAACGACATAGAGGTTTTGATTTAACGACATAGAGGTATGGACTTAGCGACATAGAGGAATGGAGTTAACGACATAGAGGTATGGAGATAACGATTTAAACGTATGGAGTTAACGACATAGAGGTATAGAGTTAGCGACATAGAGGACTGGAGTTAACGACATAGAGGAATGGAGTTAATGACATAGAGGTATGAGGTTGGAGTTAACCATATAGACGTATGAGGGTGGAATTAAGGACATAGAGTTATGAAGATAATGACATAGAGGTATGAAGTTAACGACATAGGTATAAAGTTAACGACATAGAGGTATGGAGTAATGACATACCTCTATAGTTATAGAGTTAACGACATAAAGGGATGGAGTTAACGACACATAGGTATGGAGTTAAAGACATAGAGGCATGGAGTTAACGACATAGAGGTATAGAGTTAACGTCATAAAGCTGTGGAGTTATCGACATAGAGGTATATTCATTAAAGCGAATGTTCAATTGAGTTAAATGTCTCTAGAAAACTGCGAAAGAAGTCTTATTGCTTTCTCCTCTATCTCGGTGAAGAAACTGTCGCATCGCGACGCGTAAAGGTGGCTTGTCGTACACTCATCGACTGAGCTCTCTTTGCTGTTGCTACAGAAATCTTGTAGCCACGTGATTGCCTTCACAACTGTTTTGCTAGGAGATTTCATGGTGTTTACTCCATTCCTGTTGTTTTGTTGCGAAATAGAAATGGGGTCTAAACCGAACTTTTTGACGGCAAAAATTGACAACAATCCGGTTTATGGTTTTGCCAGGAATACGACATGATTGTTTCCCCTTTATCACCGAACTCCCCGCGGTACATGGCCGTGGACCTCTCAGAGTTCCTATGGGCTGGGTGGGTCACGACTATACACAGGAAGGCACAAGTGCAGCCTGACATTGCTGGCTTCATAAAGCCTTTCTCGGCCACGGTGAGGCTCGTAAGGTTGTATTTAACCTTGTTATATTATTATCACAGAATACATTTTTATTGCGAATTTTTTTCAACACGCAGAGTAGATGTTTACTGGCTACAGTGGCTCAATTTTCTAGATTTATTCATTATGATCTTTGCTCTTATCCTAATGACCAAAAAAGTCTCAGTGCAATGAATGACTCTTATTAGTATTGAAACATAAAATTCCTCACCAGCATAACAATAAGAGTCTATTGACAATTTCGTCGACCACTTGAATATCCAAACAGTCCCCAAGCAAATCAGTAAACTCAACTCTGCTCAACAGACTTGGCTGAGCGTTCTAGCAACGTTTGTTGCTTTCGTCATCTGCTTCATCATGACGTTCAAGATGCGAGAGATTCTGTCTCCAAAAGCCAGCTCAAAGTAAGACCAGTTCTCCAAATAAGGGTGAAATGGCGGTGATTAATTGTTTTCTATAGTGGAACAAATATTACATCCTCATCCAATTCGTTTCATTTGGAATTTCAATTCTGTTCAAGGAATGAATTCAATATTTGCAATGTAATTTATCATATTGTTCCTGTTCTAACGATTGTTAATTGCAATGGGGAAAGTAACACACGCTATTTAGATACTACATTATCCATGAGAATAATATATTTTACAAAATATTTACTGATATAATATGTGCTATTTTACCCGTAGACGCGGCCAACACCGATTGTCGTCACGCGACGCCCGAATCTCCGTTTTCGCAGTGCTTAAAATTCTGCTTAACCAACGTGAGCGAAAGCCGATGACCATATGTTTCGTGCGATAAAGCAACGTGTTTTTACCTTAATAGAACCAATAATGTTGGTCCGATTATGCATTCAAATAAGCAGCGTATGACCATGTATCTGTAAAGGTAACTGCATGGTGTGACTCGAACCGATTGACAAATCGTGATTCGGAAATTTGTCTCTGAAAGACAATTGCATATATAAACTTCTGTTGCAGCCCAGGAAAACGACGAACGCTCACCCCTGATGCGACTGTTGCTAATGACGACGATGCTGTGGGGCTTCCTACTGAGCACTTTCTACAAGACCTTCCTCACGTCCATGCTCGTCCTGCCGAGGGTGGTCGAGCCCTTCAACACCCTCGAAGAGCTCGTCACCAAGAGGACCATGCCGCACATGCTCTCGCCTGGGTCATCTCTTTCTGTTATTTCCAAGGTTTGTTTCATATGTGTTGGCTTCATAACAAGACTCGAGAACCCGCTGCCCTGCTCCATTGGCCCCGTTCTTCTTGGGACACTGCGGTGTTGCTACCCCATCAAAAAATCAGGTTGTGGAGGAACGTGTGCATTAAGGGCATAATAAGGCCTTTATAAAACAACGGATAAAATTTGTATCAGGGGCTAAGCTTACGTAAATAGGCATGATAGCTTGGATGCAATTAAATAAATGGATTTAGGACATAAAAATCCAACAAAAATATGTCTTGTGAAACAAAGCTTCACCAAGTAAAGTTGCAGCAGAGTGAGCCTTGTGCTGCATTAATTCTGCTTCTGCAAGTCTTAATTCATTGTCATTGTCATTGTAAACTGGTGTCCTGAATATAACCTGGAAACTGGAGTTTCTAAGTTTTTAAAATAAATTTATCACTCGCACAAATAACAGAACTCTAGTCTTTTTTTATAGTTTTGACATACAGTATTAATCTTGATTGGAAGGCTTGCAGTGTAACTGCGGAACCTTCCAACATCAGAGGAAGCGATGCCCGCAGAACTTCACGTCTCGACGATTGCCGCTGAAATTTAATGATTACGGTTAAGGGTCGTATTTTAGACGGCAGCAACATTTTTATTTTTAGGCAGCTCCAATAAATAATAATACAACAATTTAAATAAAATAACACTACTACATAAACATGCTCAAAGACGACGTTTCTGCAATTTATTTATACCTGAACGGCCATACAAGTAAAGTGAAGAATTGCTAAATTTTAGTAAATAGATTGAGATAAGTGGTGAGTGAAAACTTGAATAAACTATGGTACCAAATACGATGTACATGTGAAGACAAAAAGGAAAAAATTTCGCGATATTCACTTCAACTGATGCATGGATCCGAATAAGATGATTAATTGTATCTTCGTAGCTTGAGAATATATACCGCAATACCTATAATAGAAAATGAATTATATATTAAATTATGCATTAGGTAAAATATCCATTATCTGAACATTTTTAAATTTTCGTCTGTTTCTATGGCTCAGATGATCCTAACTAAAAATTTTGATAGGGAAATGATCAGGTTGAAATTTTGTCTCTGGAACTTCCTATATGTATAAAAAATACAAGCATTGCGAATCACGTTACTTTGCTTTCGACCATCGTTCGTCCTAACAATAGATCAATGTACATCGGACTCGTGCGCTAAGACAATATTAATAAGGCAATGAGTAGGAATTTCGACACATATATCCCTCTCAGGATTATACAGCCTCATTAGATATGAGACAATGCACCGCATCCTCGACTGTCTAATGCGGCAGAATTCAGTTCATCTGACAGTCGTTGTTGCCCAAGTTACCACAATATTGTTGACAATAATGACAATATATTGTCATTATAGTGGTAACTTCATCATTCTTCCTCTTTAATTGATAAAAATTGAGTATTTCAAATGTTCTGATAACTTTGTTCCATATCTATTCTCTTTTCAACGTACATTGGATTTTCATTTATATTGTAAACGTTACAAGTAAACCAGTACCAGTTGATCACCAGCAATACTAGGAACTCAGTACCCAATTAATGCAGCAAGATTGAGAAATTGGGAGAGTTGCGTATCATTGAATGGAAATATCGAAATACTTCTTTAAAATATGGCTTTTGAACTCATTTCAACTGAACATATGAAAAACGATNCCAGGTGGTGTTGGTGCGACCAGGTGGTGTTGGTGCGTCCATGGCAGGTGGTGTTGGTGCGTCCAGGTGGTGTTGGTGCGTCCAGGTGGTGTTGGTGCGTCCAGGTGGTGTTGGTGCGCTCAAAAATCATAATTTTTGAATGATGAAATCTTTAAAAAAATTCATCCTCTGAAACAGTGCCCATCAGAAAAGATATGGACAGCTCTTAATATTTTTCATCGGCTAAATTTATTACTTAATCCTTACGCTGAAGTAGAAAGGTCTCTCTGTAAAATAAATTGGGATTTTGAGCATTTCCAGGTTGTTGATTGCTTACCACAATTTCTTAACTGCCATATTCCATATTGACTTTTAGCCACTGTCCATATATAGTAACCCTAAATGTTGGCCAACTGAGAAGTGTATTTGATGACTTCTTTCCTCACTGACATTACATCAACCTCTATAAAACAGTGCAATTGTCTAGTTATACGTAAGCATGTACATTGTACAGGGTAGAGCAAATTCACTCTATTCGGCCTATATTGTTCCACAATCTTTATTTGGTTTGGTAATTTAAGGTTCTCGATCATTTCAATTATTTCACTTTATGATTGTGGAATTGGGTATTTTATGCACAGCAAATTTCAAATAGAGTGCATTACATTTTTATTCCTACTTGATGTTAATATGACTGTCATTTATTCCAGATAAATGCCGAGTGTGGCGCTCTGAAGCAACCAAGTGATAGGCATCTCTTAATGCATCCAAATGCATGGATGGAATTCCATCCATGCATTTGCACAGGATCGATCATTCATGGTTGAACTAGTTTAAGGTTGACCCATGATCGAGAAGCTCATTTTCGCGGATGTAGTTCGTTGTTCGCCTGTGACGTCACTGATCTCAGTGACGTCACGCAGGCATTAACCAATAACCAAATGCGCTCAAATCCGTCATGGGAATGACGGGATTGTTTACGCCTCTGCCGCCTCCGACGCAAACGACGTTTACGCCTCTGCCGCCTCCGACGTAAACGACGTTTACGCCTCTGCCGCCTCCGACGTAAACGACGTTTACGCCGCTGCCGCCTCCGACGTAAACGACGTTTACGCCTCGATCTGCCGCCTCCGACGTAAACGACGTTTACGTCGTTTACGTCTTATGCCTCTGCCGCCTCCGACGCTTGCAGCTCTATTAATGAATGCATGCAATTGTTTATTCTGATTTTATTGAAAGAAATTTTAAGTCTACACGATCACCAACCACACAATCTACCGCGTTGTATAATAAAACCCATCCGTAAATCTGATTGGTTCGTAAAATGTACTAAAAATGAAGGTAAGCTCGTGTACGTACGGGTAACACAATATGTAGATCGATATGAACTCTAAATCAAAATAACCTCAGAGTTGGAAAGGGACGCTCGCATAAAATTTAGAGATGAACGGCCGCTTGTCTCATGACCTCCTAACAAAAATATTGGTCTTCATTTACACACACTGCATGATCCTTGCATAAAGTAGATCTCAAAAGATAAAGCCTTCATCTTGAGGAATTTCTATGCAAGAGCGTAACACTGAACACGCGTGAATACGATTAGAATTTTCATCAGGTGATGTATTAAACTGATATGTATTGAGCACCAGCTGCTCTATGGCACCTTATATATACATTTAAATCAACCATAACTTACTGTATTGTTTCAAAATGATTAAATGTGTTATCATTGTCTTAATTTTCATTTATCGCGTTCATTATCTCTGTTTAGGTCTTGTCTGTGATAAATAAAGTTTATGATAAAAATTCAATGCACTACGAGTAATTTCCTCCGCCATTGCCAGTGTCATTCCGTTGAAAGCCGATCTTGTTCTCCCTCAACTCAAAACCTAAGATCATCCGGTTAATAATCAATACTGAACATTGATATAATATTATCGGGCCAGTCAGACCAAATCACATCCTGACACCAGTTTGCCAAAAAAACTGGACTTTTTTGTTCGTGCAAAACAAACGCCTACGTTTATACTAGGATATATGAACCTATCAGTTAAGCATAAGTTCTTTCTATTAATTGAAAAAAGTGCGATTAATTGAGTTCGTTTGTATCGTTGAACAATGGGCGTCGGTAAGTGGAATCATTAAGTTATTATTTTATTAAATTAACTCGTGGTAATCTTATATTTCAATATTCAAAATAATTTCCGCATATTGAAAAGTTATTTGTAAAATTATTTAGGAAGAGGCGCACTGGACTGTGTGGTCTGATTAAAATAATAATTTTTATTCGAAAGGGACAAGTGGTGCAATATGCCACCATGCCATATATGGCCAGTGACGCCATAAGGTCTTTTTAGGGGGGCTGCAGCCCCTGAAATATTATTAAGTCATGCAAAAATAAATTATTCTCATTTAATACAAATTTAATATTTTATGTTGAAAAAATTCCGACAAATCATTGTTAATTTATGGCATTTTTTGGCATGAAATAATTAAAAGCCTTATTTAAGTCTAGATAAGTAATCAAACCACCAGTCTTATCTAATTAATATGATCATGAATAAGGCCACAAGCCCCGCCTGTCAGTAGACGGGGACTTGAGGGACTCCTGGGCCTATACTTTCAAAAAAAGTTAAGAGATCGTAAGTTCATCAGCCAATCATTGACGGCCTTTCAAGCAAAATTCACCAATCATAGACAAGTAATCGTCGATCAAGAAATTCAAATAGGAACATGTGATGACGAAAATATAGTCGTTATGACTACGCTAAAAAAACATAATCTTGGCTGTCTACATAGACACAGTTTAATACTTGAAAGTAGCAGCAAAAAGTATCAGATTATAACGGACATCACGTCACAATATTTGGCGTTACAAATTTGATTAACATCAACTTTTATATCAACTAGATAGTAATTAACATCGCGTTACAATATGCGGCGTTACAATGCACGACAGAAGATCAGCGGAGAGACGACAGTCTAGCAGTTAGCAGTTATGCTGCAATATGCGGCGTAACAAAGAAGGCTAATACAAGGAAATGTTTAGGAACATATCGCAGTGAAGGAGATTATCTTTCAACAAGGAAGACATCAATCAGGAAATATCCAGGTACGAATGGTATCAACATTGTCACCTGACAAAAGTAGAAAACTTTTATAGAAGGAACACCATCTGTAATGGTGTGCTGTTGCTTGTCTCATAAAAACATTTAACTTCACTACGGAATTAAATACCACGACGATATGACATGACGTGCTGGCAGCAATTAACTAAAGGTTATTTTTCACCTGTCAATTACAAGTAGTTTTGGATTGCGGTAAAGTTCCTAGCGTAAGCGTTGTGTACCTCAATCTCCAACACACAGATTTTGTTTCGGATTGATTTACATAATGACTAAGAAACTTTAATCGATCACGTTGCAAAGTGGTGTGTTGGCTTTGTTAACAAAATAAATTGTTTGTTTTGAAGACCGGCGGCATAAGTGCTGTGGCGAGGTTACTGGCATTGACAGTAACTCAATAATAAAAAATTGAAAGCTATATACTTGCGCACTGGATTGCATTTATCTTTTAATTGTTGATATTATTCTGACAGCTTTCATGCCACATTTTTACCACAGGGACCGGGAAAGTGAAAGCTGTTTTCTTTTATCTTTTATAAATGTAATAATTGCTTTGATAAAAACATATGTATGATTATGTTCAATGGAAATGCTGAAACAACTGACATTGGTCCCATTCAAATGAAGCAAAGCAACGCTTCCTAGAGGAAGAATTGTGAGGAAGTGAGACCTGTGTTACCTGAACCCAATGATTTACAGTTAACACTTCATTTTATTGGAGTAAATGTCCTATAACAAAACTGTCTTTGTGATATGTGAACGTCGTCACAGTGTCAACAGCGTTGCAGTGCACAGCGGCGTGTCACTTGCTTTGCTGTGTACACATGAGACGAGTGTGATGCACACAGCCATCATCACAGAGATGTGTGTTGCACACTGCCATCATCACAGAGATGTGTGTTGCAC